GGAGGGGTGGGCTACCTCGACTTGCAGTTCCCCGATGTCATCCACCGACCAGGCTTCGTCGTCGTTGTCATAGTTGGGGACGGTGGTGAAGCTGCTGGCCCGCTGCTCGTGCGTGATCCCGCACTCAGGCAGGTTCTCCACGGAGCGGGTGCTACGGATCCGGTTCTCCGGGATCCGGGCTGGAACATTAGTGGTGTCAAAGTTTTCACATTCAAGTACTTCCACGTAGATTAGGTAGGGAGCCTAAAAACAGGGATCGGGAAGAAGCAGAAGGAAAGAGGCGCCTCGGTTAGGCCAACGGGCAGCCTTTCAGAGACAACAGAATAGAAATTCGGAGGTGACTCTTTGGAGGGGGTGGTATAGGATGAGCCCAGGCTATCTTTTTTACTCTCTGCCTGAAGAATTCTGTTTTTACTCACAAATAAACAAGGTTATTACAAAATCTTGTTTCCCAACATTACACGGGTGTCAGCGTTCCAGTTTATGCTGCAGCACTGTGACCTCTACTTTCTTTTCCTCGTAATTCAAATCCAAACCGGGGCAGAAGAGGGCGATCAAAGTGCCGCGAGGCCCAAAGAAAACGCTGTTCTACGGAGGGGATTGCTGGTGCTCCCAAAATCCAGGCCCTGTCAAGACGCATCCCTTTCCCACCGGCCTCCTCACCTTGTCCTTGGAGTTCAGCACGACAGCCTGGGTGTGCGGGACCCGCACCACATGGTGGTCAAACCCAGCGGTGGGGAGCCAGACTCGGGCCGGCAGCTTGTGGTTGAGCAGCGACAGCTCCGAGATGAGGCGCTGCGTCTTCTGCTCTTTGGTGGGAAGGGTGGCCAGCCTCTTCCCGATGGCCATCAGCGACTTGATGAACTCTCGCTCTGGGGCAAGGCGGACAGGCTAGGTGGGGGCCAGGGTGGTGGTGGTCATTTTCATTGGAAGGGGGAAGGAGAACAGAAGAGAGAAAGGTGGGAAACAACTTCGCACAAAAGAAGTACACGTAACTTGACGACTCTCTGTCCTGGACAATGACATCCAAATTCATAATTTGGCTCCTCCAAGTCTTCTTGGAGCTGTCTCTCGATTTGGACTGGAGAGCCCCGGAAAATTGGAAGACACCCACTTCAGACTCAGCCAAGGCTTGACATAAATGTGAAACCTTTTCCCCCAGAACGGCTGGATTCACATCTGCCCCCCCCCAGCCCCACCAAAAATGCAGAGAGGCGCCTCTCTCCTTCTGAACCGACACCAGGGGGCATAAAAAGCACGGACGATCAACTGAACAAACAGAGGTTCCTAAGATTCACGACCACTCGCCTGGCGGCGGCTTTAAGAAAGCCCCGTATATTTCTGAAAGAGAGAGCTTCTCTTTCCTGGCTCAGCCTATCCCCAAAGGAGGGGCTCATCCCAAGAGCTCCGCTGTCTGGTGAAGAATTCTGGAGGACTCCTGCCTATCTAGAAATGGGGAGTTTTTGCTTTTTACAGCCATAATAAGGATAATTTATTTAAACACTTTTTTTGGGGGGGGCTAACATAGCTACTGTCCTGTGGTGGTACCTGAGCGTTGTGATAAACAGAGACGAGTGTCCTTCTTTCTCGTTTCCAGCATTCCTGGGGGTCAGCCCTGGGGTGCATACGTTTGATCAGTCGGAAGAGTCCAATCTGAGCTTCTGCACCCCATGGTCTCCCTCTCTCCCTTCATCTTAAGACTGACGGAGGCAGGCTTGGTAAGCGCCGTATTTATCAAGTCAGGATCCTGCCCCTCTACTCTGTCTCTCTCCTGCTTTTCATAACCCATGGCTGATGAAGATCACTAGGAATCTCCAAAGGCTGGCATGTTCCTGTGACGTCTGAGCTGGCTTCATGATGCTCCTACCCTGAGAGCACACGCGCGCACTGGGTTTTTCTGCTCTGACAGGCCAGCAGGGATACCTTTGGGGTTTTGAGATCCACCAAACGAAATTCTTCTAAACCGAGACAAGACGTGCATCTGCCCATCCCTCAAAGAAACCAAACCCCACCACTACAAAGAGCAGCAAAAGCAAGACATTAATAAGCCGATCCCAGTGCCGTTAACGATGCTGCTGATGCCGCCACCACTGCCAGCAAACCAAGCACAGCGAGGAAGCAAGACATGCAGGAAAGGAAAAGGAGGGCGCCCGTCCTATTAAGACACGGGCACGGCCTGCGCTGAGGGGAGGTTCTGGCAAGGGCACTGGAAGGGAGAGATGCAAAGAAGAAGCCTCTGTCCAGCCTGGGGTGCTTCCTGCCGCCCTCCCAACTCCAGAGGAGGCTGGTGGTGGGAGAAACGTGGCTCAGGGATCCGCAGTTTAACCCACTAGAGTCATCACAGGCTCTGCATTCCCAGCCAAGCAATTAGGCCAGAGGAATGGGGTCATGATGGATCAAATGGGCAGGCTGTCAGGAGGTGGTGACCCCCCCACCCCCACCCCATCCATGTAGGAGGACTGACTGGGCTGGACGGAGAGTAGATCAGGATGAACGGGGAAGAAACCGGAACTCTCCAGGTTCTTT